AGACATGGGCTCCAGCCCAGGAACCGTGAGATCATGACCTGAGCTGAGATCAAGAGTGGGGACGCTTAACCAACTGTGCCACCCAGGTGCCCTGTCTAAGACTTTTTGTGAATAAATATGGGGTTTCATCTGGCAGCTAATGTGAGAGAGGGGAGGCCTGAGCCCTCACACCAGAAAATCAGGCATTTCTTGGAGTAGCATATAAATCTGAGGCTCACAGTGGGTTGAGAATTGCAGGAGTGACCCCCGCAGCGCACGGCTCCTGGGTCCCCCAAGTCCAGAAGAAGCGGCCTCCTCTCGGCCCCTCCAACACCCTGCTGGGTTCACCCCTTTGCTCCCTCACGACTGCAGGCTCTAGGCAGTGGCCAAGAACCTGATGCTGCAGAAGGCCAAGGATGGCAGCTCTGACTGGAGCGGAAATGGATCGTTGCTGTTCTGGAACAATCCGTGAGCCGAGAAAGTGGGCAGATGGAGCTTGTACTCAGTCCTGCTCCCTTGTGTGACCCTTCACCTCCGATGCAGCTGGGTGCAATCTCTGTCTATCACTCTCCCTTTAAAATTTTTATTTTATTGTGGGAGCGCCTGGGGGGCTCAGTCGGCTAAGCGTCCGACCCTTGATCTCGGCTCAGGTCATGATCTCACGGGCGGTGAGTTCGAGCCCTGCGTTGGGCTCTGTGCTGACAGCGCGGAGCCTGCTTGGGATTCTCTCTCTCTCCGTCTTTTTCTACCCCTTCCCTCCCCCCACTAGATAAAGAAATAAGCTTAAAAAAAATAAAAGTTTTACTTTATTATGGTAAGAACACTTACCGGGAGTACTCCCCTCTTAAAATTTGAGTGCGCAAACAGCATAGTTAACAACCGTCTATTGTTAATAGACACGATATGGCAGAGCAGGTCTCCAGAGCTTATGCACCTTGCTTGACTGAAACTTGATAGTTGTCGGTTGGCAACCCAGCTCCCATCTCCCTTCCCCCAGCCCCTGGCACCACCATTCCACTCTTTGATTCTATGAACTTGCCTGTTGGGTACCCCACGTAAGTGGGACCATGCCGTCTTTCTGTGACTGGCTCTTACTTCGCTTAGCGACGTGTTCTCCGGGCGCATCCTTATCGTGGGATACTGCGGGATGTCCTTCTTTGTAAAGGCTGACTGATGTCCCATTGTATGTCTGTGGCACCCTTTGCCTTGTTCACTTGCTGATGGACGTTTAGGCCGTTGGCCCATCTTGGCCGTCGGGAACGATGCTGCAGCGAACCCGGCAGTGCTAGTCTCCCTTCGAGATCCTGGCTTCGAGTCTTTTCAATGTGTATCGGGAAGCGGGGTTGCTGGGAATTCTAGTTTTAATTTTTGGAGGAACCTTCATACTGTTTTCCACTGCAGCGGCACCATTTTGCATTCCCGCCAACTGTGCAAGAGGGGGCCAAGTTCAATCTCTTCGCTTCCCTGTGTAGAGAACCCTGGGGCCTTCTCAGGCCATCCCTCTCTTCCTATACGCCCTCTATGGTTTTTTTTTTTTTTTTTTTGTGTGTGTGTGTGTGTGTGAGGGGGGATCTTCTCAGTTATCCTTTTCTTTCCCTGGCTATTTCTTTTCCTATTCCAGTCAGCACCTTGCCTATCTTTTTGGTGCCTAATTCAGCCTTCAACTGCTGTCTACTGAACACTCCGTGCATAGCATGATACCAAGTGCTTTAAGCGCTTAATCTCATGTAATCTTTGCAACCTCCCTCTGATGATATAGGTACTTTTGTCGTCTCTGTATTATTGTCATCTCTAGGTTACAGAAAAATGAGTCTTAGTGAAATTTAGCAATTGACCTGGCTTGTATATCGAGCAGGGATTTGCACCCAGATCTCTAGCATTTATCTTAGTTACCCTTTTATTTTTATACACGTGTCTTCCCAATCCTCCGGGGACTTGGAGTATGTTTTCTGCCTCGTTGTAACCCCCACAGTGCTGGGCGCTTACTAATGCTCGATAAATACCAGCATTTGCACGGTAAGTAGAGCAGGGTTTTTATTCCCAGGCATCTGAACACAGCCCTGTATGCCGAGTTTCAAAGATACATTAATTCTATGAAAGCTGCTGCTGTTTACCGATTCAAACCGTAACCACTAATACACACGTCTCCTGATAAAATATATATCTTCATGCTTATTGTACATCTTTACAAGTCTATAACATTTGTCTGGCCTCGTAAAGCATTTTTTGCATGATTACTTAATGAGATGCTAAGAGATTACAAAGCTGTGTCAATTACTCGGGCACATACTATCAGTGTCCCCATTTATGGTCCAGGAGGGACGTTCAGAGAGGTGAAGTGAAATCCTGCAGTTGGTAGAGAAATGAAACCCCACGAAGCTGCCAGAATCATGGGCTTCCCTTTGCCCTCACTGCAAGCACTGAGCAGAGTCTAAAAGGTAATTGTGAAGGGCTGCACAGAGTGGGGGAGTGTTATTTTATTAAAAAGCGGGAGGACGATGATATAACCAAGTTAGTGAAATGGAGGGGAAGTGGGTGGACCAGTGGCCTGTTTCGGTTTGGGTGGCGGTTGGGATGCAGACAGGTTGGGTTTGAGATGCAGCCCTTCATGAGTACACAGCGGGCTATATGCGGGGGGAAGGCTTCTGGCCAGAGAAGGACAGGAAAGGTCTGTGTTCCTACCTTTGTTCCTTCCTTCGTATTTCATGCCCCTGCTCCTGCTGCTCCCGGAGCCTGGAATGCCGTGGCCCGCCATTTCCCCCACCCTCTCTGATCCCTGGTTCCTATCGTCTTTTGAAGACTCACTCCGAGAGTCCCCGCTGCTGATCCCTCCTGGCACTACTGTGTCCTCGTGATCCCAGGAGCTCACCTTTGCCATCGCACTTCCCATGTTGTCCTATGATATCCTTGTGCCAGACAGTGCACTCTGTGGGCTCAGGGGCCACGTCGCCTTATCTTTGGTTTTCCTGAGTCCACCATGGCTGGTTGTTGAGCGACCGATGGATCCTTGCAAGCACCTGGCAGGCTTGGGGATACATGGTTTCTTCATGAGTAAGCGGTTTCCTGGGGGAACATGGAGCTGAAACCTCTGCATGGGCTTCGTCAATTCCCATCGTAAACATTGACAAGAGAAACACCTGGGTTGTCTTTTTTTTTTTTCAATAGCTCCACTTTATTCTTTTTTAATTTAAAAATTTTTTTAAATTTGTATCCAAGTTAGTTATCACATAGTGCAATAATGATTTCAGGAGTAGAATTTAGTGATTCATCTACATACAACACCCAGTGCTCATCCCGGCAGGTGTCCTCTTTAATGCCCCTTGCCCAGTTAGCCCATCCCTCCGGGTTGCCTTTTCTAAACTGTGCCAACCCATCCGGTTTGTTTTAAAGGATATCCTTCAGTTGACCTTACTTCCGTTTAATTTTTTCAGTGGAAGACTATTTTCTTTTTTTTTTTAATAACAGTTTAAAAAGTACTCTAAAGACCACCAGGGGTGTCCTTGTGTCTGTCTTCCTGCGGTTCACTCTTCCTGGGACAGTTCACTGTTTCTGTTTGTTTCAATCTCTCTTCGATAGTCACGACTGATTCCTACCTCTGACCTTTATCTCTTTCGAACTTGAGGCATTCATTTCCCATCCCCTGCCTGCACTCTGGCTAGCTCGGTCAGCGTTCCGAAGCAGAAGCGTTTGCTTCCAGAAGGTGATCCTTCCTTTCCATTTTTTCCATTTTCTATTTAGGTTAACTGGCAACTCTGATCACAGGAGTTAGACTGTGCCCCCCTCACTGACTGTGCAAGTCAATCACTTGCAAGTACGGTCCATTCGAGTTAACTAGGGCTCTAAAAGCCACGCCTTCCTATTATCTTTCCTGCCGCTGTCTTCATTTATTTATTAACTCATGCATCAGTCGCTTATGGAGTATCACCTATGTGTCAGGCTCTATGCCACGCAGTCATAATACAGCCTCAGACGATAACGGACAGAAGACCTGCCCTTGAAGAACTTACTCTCTAGGATCAAGGGAATCATGCAATAAACAATGTAACCACTAGGTAGATAGTTTCCTCGGTTAGAAGCTGAGAGCTATAGAAAAAGCGAGTAGGGGGTCAGGAATGCCAGGGGTGGAGTTCAAAGTTGTAGCATTAAGTAGGATGTTCTCAGGCCTCCTGAGAATGTTAGCTGAAGAAGGTGGTGAGCGAGTGAGCTACGTAGGTTCTTGGGAAGAGTGGTGTAAGCACAGCGACTAGCCAGAGCAAAGGCCCCGGGGCAGGAGGCTGGTATATTCTTGGCATGACCAGAAAGCAGCAAGGTGGCCATTGTGGCTGGATGGGAGGCAGCCAGGTGGGCAGTGGTAGGAGAAAAGTCAGGGGGGAAGGGGTCCCGGCCACTAGAGCAGTAGGGGAACTTTGCCATTGCCTCTGAGTGGAATAGCCTTTGCAGGGTTTTGAGCGGAGGAGGGACATCTTCCAGAATAACTGGTAGACTCACCCTGGCTGCTCTCCTGAGAGGAGACCACGGGGCGGAAGTGGCAAGCATGGGAGCCCCACCATTTCTTGCCTGGACCGTTGCAGTAGCTTCAAATGGATGTCCCCACTTGCGTCCACCCTGGCAAACTTCTTCATGCTTCAGTGTTCTTCTGTCTGCCGTGGACCACACTTCGCAAACGTGGGCTGGATGACGCTCCTCTCCAGCAGTGGCTGCTGGAGCAAAATGCACGCTCCGGGAATGGCATTCGAGGCCCATTGTGATCTGGCTCCCACCTGTCGTTCCGGCTTCGTCTGCCCCCGTTTTCCGTCCCTCTCTCACCCCGGGCACGGTCGTCCTCCTGTGCCTCGGCTCTTCTTGTCCTCTCACTTTCTGTCCGTCAAAATCCTCTTCTGCTAAGTGCCACCTTCTCTCTTAGGCCTGTGCAGCGTCTCCAGTCAGAACGCATTTCTCTGGGCTCCCCAACCCGGCGAGGGTGCTTGTGTCTGTGAGAAAAACGGTTCCGGTCAGCCAGCTTTTTGGGTTCTGTTTTGCAGATTGAAGCGCTGGTGAAGGACATGCAGAACCCAGAGACAGGGGTCAGGGTGCAGAACCAGAAGGTCCTGGTCACCAGTGTCCCTCACGCCATGACAGGTAATGTATCCTGTGACTTAGTCTTGGCCTCGAACCATCCACACGCAGGGAATGGTGGCCTAGAGCTCAAGGTCCCAGTTCAGCCCGTGGCCTGTGTTTACACATAAAGTTTTATTGGGACGCAACCACATCCCTACTTGTGTTTTATCTTTGGCTGTTTTTACGCCACAGTGACAGTTGCATAGGTGTGCAGAGACTGAATTATGGCCCCCCGAAGTGAAGCTATGTACAGCCCTTTAGAGGAAGTTTGCTGATTCCTGGACCACAGGCTCCTTCTGAGGAAGGGGTCGGAAAGGAAAGGAGAAAAAGAACCAATGGGGCACTTTGTGAAGCCATCCCTCCCGGGAGGTCATTTAAAAAGCTTTTACTGTCGCTTTCTGTTTGCCCTGTTTTGATGAAATCAGGTAGCTTGAGGAAGAAAAATACTATCTGGCAGAAATAAATTGGTCTTTGCTCCACCCTGGTCTGATTCACGCTGACAACTTTCTGTTTTTATTAATTAATTAATTTTTAAAAATTGGGCTCCAAATGAGTTAGCATACAGTGTAATAATGGTTTCAGCAGTGGAATTCAGTGACTCATATAACGCCCAGTGCTCAGCCCAAGAAGTGTCCTCCTTAATGCCCATCAGCCATTTAGCCCGTCCCCCCAGCCCCTCCCCTCCCGCACCCCTCAGTTTGTTCTCTGTAGTTAAGAGTCTCTTATGGTTGGCCTCCCTCTCTTTTTATCTTATTTTTCCTTCCGTTTCCCTATTTTCGTCTGTTTTGTTTCTTAAATTCCACACATGAGTGAAATCATATGATATTTATCTTTCTCTGACTGAGTTATTTCGCTTAGCATAATACACTTTAGTTCCATCCACATTGTTGCAAATGGCAAGAATTCATTCTTCTTGATTGCCAAGTAATATTCCATTGTTTGTGTGTGTGTGTGTGTGTGTGTGTGTGTGTGTACATACCACATCTTCTTTATCCATTCATCAGTCGATGGGCATTTGAGCTCCTTCCATAATCTGGCTATTGTTGATATCACTGCTATAAACATTGGGGGTGCACTTGCCCCTTCGAATCAACATCTTTGTACCCTTTAGATAAAGGATATAATAGTGCTATTGCTGGGTGGTAGGGTAGTTCTATTTTTAATTTTTTGGGGAACCTCCATACTGTTTTCCAGAGTGGCCGCACCAGCTTGCACCCACCAGCAGTGTAAGAGGGTTCCCCTTTCTCCGCATCCTTGCCAACATCTGTTGTTTCCTGAGTTTTTTTTCAAGTTTATTTATTTTTGACAGAGAGAGAGAGAGAGAGAGAGAGAGCTAGGGAGGGGCAGAGAGAGAGGGATACCCAGAATCCGAAGCAGGCTCCAGGCTCTGAGCTGTCAGCACAGAGCCCGACGCGGGGCTCGAACCCACGGACTGTGAGATCATGACCTGGGCTGAAGTCGGATGCTTAACCGACGGAGCCACCCAGGCGCCCCCTGAGTTGTTAATGTTCGCCACTCTGGTGTGAGGTGGTATCTCATTGTGGCTTTGATTTGTATTTCCCTGATGATGAGTGATGATTCAGCATCTTTTCATGCATCCGTTAGCCATCTGAATATACTGGCGTCCTCCTTAACCACCCCACGGGATGCCGCCAGTGTCTCCTTTCTCTGGATGTGGGATAAAGGAGCATCATCTGAGGACATTGGCAGAAGGGACCGAACCGCAAAAGAAGAATGAATTTTGATTAATGGGTCGCATATGTCGTATGATTTTGGTTTTTCGGTCAAGAGCGTGTTTCCTACCGAGATATAGTGTCTGCAGAAACAGACAGTTTCTCAAAGCACAAGCCTGGGACTCACCCCTCTGTTCTGCTCCTTGTGAACCCTCACTCTCTCCCCCCTGCCACGACCTCACTGTTTTTCACTCAAGGTGCCCTGGTCTTGGCAGAGATAAGCTGGCTGACACTGTCCTGTTTCCCTTTCTATCTGCTTGGAAGAAAGAGTGCCCCCACCATCAGTGTATCATGCAGGCTTCCGTGAGTGCAAGCCACAGAAGACCAACTTGGCTGGTTGGAGCAAAAGAGCAGTTGATCGGAACGGAACAGGGTAGCTCACAGACGAAAAGGAAACTGACGAGCCACCCCTGGGAGAGGCTAGAAACCAGTGTAGCACAGGCGCCCAAAGAGCAGGAATAAATGGGCAGACTCCTCAGGGTGGTCCTGTTTCCTCCCAGCCTTTAAGACGTATGGGGCGGTGGGG